ATTCTACTTTCTGGATGTCATATTTGGTATCGATTGTCAATTACTAGGTATTTTTTGCAAAAACCTGCTCTTCTGTTTGTAAATGAAACTAGTAATATCTGATAAGAAAGAACTAAATTTGTCGTATATACATATATGTGGAATGTGTCAAGAATAATAAATAATGGCTCTTTATTTTATCATTTAAGCCGATTTTATTATGGGATAAAGCAGGCAGCGTGGCCGAGCGGTCTAAGGCGCCGGTTTAAGGCACCGGTCCGAAAGGGCGTGAGTTCGAATCTCACCGCTGTCACTACTTTTTTTGATAATTCTAAGATCCAGCATTGAGACCATCGCTGCTCGAAGATCGTTATGAACGATTTTTCTTTATTTTTTCAATCTACATTGTTTTTTTAACAATAAAAGCGACTCATCGAATTACAATTCAAATTCTACAGTGATTTCTTCATCACAACTTGAGTTAGTGATCAAAGCACTTCCTTTAGTTCATTTATGACAACAGTTGTTCTCTAATAGCCCTTTGTATATTTTTATAATAGTACAACTCTAAAAGATAAGCCAAAATATTTCAAGCAACTTATGTTTGAATCTAGTCAAATGTAAATAAGTATCACTGATTTTGTCGTTAAATAGTCACATATGTCTTTCAACTAGTACAAATATGTCATAAATGTTTTCTCGAATAGTACATTTAACAAGACACAAGAACCTTTGATTATGATGAAAACGAAAAAGTGGAAAATATAATTTCAATATAATGAATCCATCATGTTCTACAATAATGGCCATTCACATGAACCATGGAAAGTTAGCTTTGATAATAATCTTACGATTCATGATTTAGCAAATAGAACTGAAAATTTATCTTATTCTGTTGATAATCATTCATATATATTCTACATCTACAATATATTGCGTAAAGGATACAATAATCTAATGTCCATTTCAAAGTTAAATGGTCGTGGGCATTTTTTGAATAACTTTTGATAGGAACGAGATAGAGATCTGCGATTTTCACCGTTAGAAAGAGCAGATGAAGACGCATCGGATTATATATAGAAAGATTTTTTTAACACCTTTCCGAAAGGGTTAGTGTGCCGATATTGATGACACGGCTCGATGATTCTCCTTTCTTCTCTGTCTGTTCTCTTTCCGTTGTTCTAATATATCACTCTCCTGTCTGTGCTGATATTGATGACACGGTTCGATGATTCTCCTTCCTTCTCTGTCTGTTCTCTTGCCGTTGTTCTAATATATCTCTCTCCTGTCTCTCTTCTATCTCTCTCCGAGTCTATGGGCTTTTTTATTTCAAACTGAATTCTAAAATCAAAAAAACCACACCAATTTCTTCCGAATCAAACTTTTCTCGCTTGATACTACGTAGTCTCACTAAAAACCCTTAGTCCCCCCTAGTCCTGCAAAGTCCCCCTTATTCCCCCCCACAAAAAGCTTAGTCCCCGCTTAGTCTCCTGTGCAGGGGACTAAAGCCTATAGTACACAAAACCACAAGCACACCCTCACCCTCACTCGCGCGCCCACACCCGCACCATGGGTGTGGGTGTGTGTGGGTCCCAGACCAACACCCACACCCTCAGTCACCCCCCCCCTCACTCCTAGACTCACGTTTCAGTTTGAAATCAAGTATTATTTTTATTTGATAAATTCAGACTGAAATTAAATAGCCCATTGTATGCTCTCTCCTATATATATGCGTATTATGTATGAAGTTGTTACACTCTGGATATGTGAAATAGCTGAATAAACATCATTGCCGAGAATGGCGAAAAGCTATTCAATCCAGTTTGTCGTTACACTTAGTCAAACGTTTTCATAGAATTGCTTTTTTCTCCTACGTTTAAACAGTGGCTTTTCTATCAAAATACTACAAAAATTTACATTTTTGGATTATTTTGTTGAAAAAACAGAGGTGGTAAATTGTGTTCCGATGGTTTGGATATCATACTGGTAGTAGTTAGGAACAGAATCTTGATATATTTTTGTAGCCTTTCCTTTGACGATTCTTGAGCACTCCTGAAAATCAATAAATTGATATCGTGACCATGAGAAGCATGCTGTTTTTCTTGAAGTTTTATGTAAACCCTATAGAAAAGTAGTTAGCCAAATATTTCTATATGTAATTCGATGCGTCCTCATCTGCTCTTTCTAACGGTGAAAACAACAGATCTCTATCTCGTTCCTATCAAAAGTTATTCGAAAAATGCCCACAGCCATTTAACTCTGAAATGGACATTAGTAGATACATAGAAACCATATTTAAAAAAATGATTATTTTATAATTATCAACTAGTTTCTAAATTATATTCGTCTATGTAATCGAAGTTGTTCAGTATGGTTAGTATGTTATTCATAAACACGATCTTTTGTTTTAAGTACACTATCTGCCATAAAGTCATCGCTAACAAGTATAGATTGATTCAAAATTTTTTTAAACATTTTTTTTCACTAATAAGTAATGAGACCTCATTACTCATAAAATATGTGTGTATATAAACGCGAGGATTCGAAAAGACTGTATCGAAACCTTTTCTTCTGATTTTTGAGACTTCTGAGCATTTTGTCTGGGTGAATAATTCATATACATAAGCAAATGAGTAATATATATAGGCGGATAATTTATGTACACCCGTAGCCACATCTATATATATATATAGAAGTGTTAGTTAAATAAATCAGTTATATGCAAATAAACAAGTAAGAAAGAGCTACTCATATATAGATAGGAAAGTTTGCAGTTGTGTAATAACGAATCTGATGGTTGATATCTAAGAATGATTTTCGACAAGATTCGACTGTTGAAGAATTGGGTCTTGACAGTAAATTACATTATCGCATAGTTTTCAATTATCCGAGTGTGCATGTAGGCGTCACTTCCATCCTCACACCGACATCTGTCCAGGCATCCACTCTCACACCCTTTGTTCCTCATCTCAAGTGAAAATTTAGGAAATTTCTAAAAATTTTTGTGCAGAATTTTTAGTATTTTTTCTCGAATAAATTGTAGTTGATTCAACATTTAAATCTTTTTCTTTTGTATATGATTGAATACGGAGTTGATTTATGTATTGATTCATGTAATTTTGAATTTGATTTAAGTGAGACCTTTTAGGTAAATTTTGGATTATGCGAATAGCACTGTACAAGTCTATTTTTTCATCAGTACAAATTTGCTTGAACTTTCAACAAGAAAATAAAATATCCTTGTTCAATTCAAAACGTTTTCATTCACTACTTTCCACAACTTTAGATCTGATAGATCTGTTCAATATAAAATAATTTACGTGAAAATAAGATTCAGTGTCATTGAGATATGAGCATCTAAAATCTTTTCTTGAGTTTTTTCAAAATTTATATTAAACGTTTGGTCAACACGCAAAATCAATCAAATTAAAAACTATACAATTCGATAGAGTAATAAATACTTTATCCAACCGTATAAGAAGAAAAAAATTGTTTACGTTTTGCTGAGATACAGGAAACTGAAGACAACTAGCAAATAATAAGTGAATTAGACTGTATATATTACATAGAGAACATAACAACTCTATTTTTGCTGTATGACCTTTATGCTCTGTATATATCTTTGTTTCTTTATTAATGGCTATTGATAAGAAAAAAAGAGAAAACAAGAACGTTGAGGTTTTTTCTCTCTTTTCGTTTAAATTGTCTCTGGTAGAAAGAAAAAGAACTTCTATCTTACGAATAATATCGACAAAAACATCGACAGAAAGACAAAAAAAACGTGTTACATATAAATCATATTTTATGCGTTTAGTTACTCTATTGAAGAGATGAATTTGGAATCATTAGCAAATGAATTATTACTTGGTCTTTTTGAATATTTTTCTGGTGTTCATCTTCTGCAAACTTTTTATGATCTCAATACTCGCTTGAACAATCTCATCTTTCGCCATTTCCAAAATGATGTTCTTAATTTTCAATCAATATCTAAGTATGATTTTGATACAGTTTGTCAAAAATATCTTCCATCAATAACTGATCGAATAATTACTCTTCGTCTTTCAGACGATGATGACACTCCCAGACAAATTGATCTGTTCTTTACATATGGTTTATCTTTTAATCAATTTTCCCATTTACAGTCATTATCAATTTATCATGTGTATTCTTTAAATTCATTAAAAAAAAAATAACAAATGAATTATTTGATCTTCCTCATCTTACACACCTCATAATAACTAGACATACAATTTCAGATCAGCTAATTATGACATAAGCAATTTTAAATAAGAGAAAATTGACTTATAATTATTTACAAAAGAAGCGAAGTTTTCTGAAGATTATATAAGCTATTCAGAATTGACAATAGCCGATCATACCGCATCGTTTAGCACCTGATAAGATGATCACTCATCTCATTAATAGTAAACAGACTACAGCTCTGAACAGAAAGCCTCTTTGATGAAGAATTTTTCTTGCTCATTCTGCTCTCCCATAAACACTTGCTATCAATTTACTCGCAATGTTCAGATACTATATTACAATGATAAAATGAAGTAGCAAATGTATGCCGGAATGTAGTAAGTATGCAAATTACCGGATGATATTAAGCGATAGCCATGAATACCTTGTCTAATTTTAGCCCATAATTAGATGACGGTGGCAATATTGACTAATTCAAATGATATTAAATAATGTAATTCGTATGAGATTGATATGAAGTGAATTTGCGTAATGTAATTTTTCGTTAGAAATATAGTACCAATTCCGATTTTCAAAGTACGAATGAATTCGATAATTTTCGGTGTCAATATATTCCTATTCATCTTGCTAAGTATATGATCAACGGTATGGATACTAGGTTACATAGTAAAGTATAATGAACGTATATTTTAACAATCATCTAATGACGACGGAAAATTGATTAGTTATAATTTTCGTTGAATCTAAGATAAGAGATGAATTAAAATATTTACAAATATGATTATGGGATACTTGAATAAGCTCTTGTATATAATGAAATGTATGATATTGGAATTATTCAACCTATTGGACGATTTCCAAAACTTGCTTATTGTTATTTAGATATAATAAATGATAATGATTGTTGTTTTTTAACACCAACAATTATTTCTTCATCTTTAAAAAACTCATCTATTCCATATTTGGATTGCACTTTAAATCAATTAATATATTTAACTAAATATATACCTAATCTTCAATCACTCAACATACGTATCGTTGATCATTCGACTATTCTACAAATACCAACAATTATATTTTTATCAATTAAAAATTTGAAAGTTCTTTTTTTTTCGGTACTTTACATTCAATGAAAAATCTTCTACGAACAATGTCAAATTTAGAAAAATTGAAATAGAATCAACTTATATTGATGGATACCAATGGGAAACTATGATTGAAAATTATTTACTAAATTTAATTATGTTTCAATTCAAAATGTCAACTTCATTATCATCTAATCAACAAAATGAAGAACAAAAAATTGATGAAATATTAAATTCATTTCGTAGTCACTTTTGGATTGAAAAACATCAATGGTTTGTTCAGTGTTATTGGATATTAGCTGATACATCATCAATCATTCATGTATATACACTACCATATGCATTTTCGGATTTTCTTTTACATCGGTAATGTTCGATTAAAATCAACATATCCTAACGATAATCAATATTGGTCTCTTAATTCTATACATAATTTGTATTATACACATGTTCCATCTCAAAATTCGTCTTTTTCTCATATTCATTTAAATAATATTCATTATTTAGATTTGACTCTACCGTTTGACGACTCATGTTGGTCAGTGGTGACAACACTTGAACGATTAAAATGTTTAAACATTGTGTCATATGGTAATATGGATTTGATTGATATTCATTCGAAATTACAAATTTTATGCAATCGATCACCTCATCTTCATTCATTAAAATTTTTTTCATGGTTTGCTCAAGATGAATTTCCATTTGATATAAAACATTCATCCATTCGACAACTTGATTTACAAGGACTAAATATTGTATATAATCAACAACAATGTTTGGAATTAAGTCGTTCATTTATCGGTCAACAATGTGAGGTTCTTTTTATTACTGTTAAGCAACGAACAGATATAATTGATTTGATTAATAATATGAAAAATCTTCGTGCATTAATCGTACAATGTACTAAGACAATGTCAATGCAGAAAGAAAATGAAAATCTACTTGAATGGTTACAACAAAATTTGCCAATGACATGCTCAATTTCAAATTCTATTGAAGTTAACAATAATATTCGTTTGTGGATTCGTTAATAAAGAATCTAGTAAATAGGAACTATGATCTAATTATTTTATGAGAAAAATCTGAATTATTCGTATGAATGAAAAATACTTTAGAGCGTACTAAATTCAAACTTGACAGGTCTTTCGTTTTATTTTTGGTTTACTGCTATGACCTGCGATAAAGCTTTGCTAGCTAATTAAGAATATTCCTACTTTATCCTTCTTCGTGCAAGTTTTTAGATAAAAAAAAACTGAAGACTCCAAAGATCGATTTTCTTTAAGAACAGATGTTTCTTTTTTTAAACGAAATAACTCAGTCTGATTTATTTTCAATGTTTATAATTATTTTTCTCTTACTGAATATTAAACACTGCATATAGAAAATTTCGCATTTCTACGAGTATGATGAAAACAATGTCGTTTGTCGAAACACGTCACCAATTTAAAATCAATTTAGAGGTTTATAATTTTAACCATTTTATTTAAATTGAATATAATTTCATTGATTATCTTTATTTTTAATTTTTAAACTTCAATTTAAAAAATCATAATATAAATAAAGAAGAGAAAATCCCGTGAAATCAAATTAATTACGTACTTCCTAATAACTCGTAATGAAGGATATATTAACTTAATGTACTTTTAGAAAGGATATTCATTCTTAAGGATAATGATGCGAGGAAAAATATTTATGAGGAGAGACAAGTCGATAACATTTTTGAACAGATATTTCTTAAAGAATAGTTAAGACCTAGTTTTTCCAATTAATCCGATTAAAAATATTATATTTTTAGAGTGCAAGAGCATGTGATACGGGAAAAACCTCGAATTGTGAAGAAAGTTTAGTAAATTGAAAGAAAAACAGAAACCACCGTACACCTTTGCATAACAATGTTTGATGCAATACAAGTGTGTTGTTTTTTATCGATAGATGGCTTGTCTTTGTAGTGCACATTATTTCTTTTTTTTATTGACTACAATTGCAAATGTTTCGACAATGAGGCGAATGATTATTCAAGCTGTCAAGAAGAATGCGAATTGTATCTATCGAAAGCACAATAGTAATACCTTGTGAGATAAGAATTGAGAAAAAAAAATAATATGATGATTCAGAACAATTTTTTTTTCATGCGCATGGCGTATTGATGCTATGACATGGCCAAAGGATATCGAGCGATTTTTTATTATTGCTAACAACTTAGAAGTTCAAGCTTCTATGGTACAGCTTTCATTCGAATATTAGTCAACTAAGACAAGCCAACATTTAAGAAATTCAATCTATAATTTAATGGCTATAGGTGGCTCACATTTATGAAGAGATTTGCTTTTTACTATTTATCTGAACATAGTGGTAAAATATGCATGATGAGTATTTCTCAGACTGACGCAATTTTCACGGATACTTGGCATTCCTATCAGTTACTCAAACTAGAGAAAATATATATCCTATTTAGATATAAATGAAAGATAGACAAAATGATTTTTTTTATCATTATCGACAGATTCACACTATGGCTCATGTAACACATACAATATGTCCTAACTAATGACGATCTAGGAAATATATTTTGGGTAAGATTAGCAAAGTTCATGGAAAAATAAATGCAACTATTAGATTACACTAAGATTACATGCGTGTTAATCTATTAATAGTACCTTATTAATTAATTGCTGAAAAGATCATGGTGCCGTCTCAATAAAAAAAAAAACGTCATTAGTTTTCGAATTGTGTGAACAACATAAAAAACAGTCAATGGCGTCGGATTTACTTAGTAATGCATTGTCCTCAAGTGTGTATGTCGAGATGTCCTTCAAAGCCATCATTTTATAATATTTGACGAAGAAATAAAATATCTGAGATAATACTGACACACACTGATGTGAAAAGATGTTACTCTATGCTGCTCACTTTTTTACTTTCGTTATTATGGATTTGTTTCATCCTCTTCGATCTTCTCTTTTTGTTCTTCTTCTCTCTGTTGTTATTGATGCTTTTGTTCTTATTATTATTGACCTTTTCTTTTAGACTATTTCTCATCTTTTGTCATTATATAAATATTTTTAATTGTGAACTAAGAACTTTTTACTCTCTGTAAAGATAAAATATCGCAATGACTTAATTAGTGAATTTTATTTCAACATTACGAAGATCAGTTACAATAGGTCGTCTCACGATAGTGAGTTATGTGGAAATTAAATTTTGTCATAATCAATTACTTCATTTTCTTGCTGTTGGTAGAGTGAGAATATATTATTTATTTGATTGTTCCTGACCAGAAGGATATGATTAAGTTTATAGATGCAAAAATGATAGTCTCGGTTATGCGTGAAAATGTTGTTCCACGTTGACATTTGGGGAAGACTATGTTTTTAACCGATAAACGATAGTCAGTGCAAACTTAATATTTTGTCGATTCTGTGCGATGAATATATAAAAAAAAAAAGTTACTACGTGAAACAGCGCACGTTTTGGTGAGCATTCAACTAACTCTTCATTACCATCGATTGATGCGTGTGAACGACGGGAGACAGAGCAAGCATAACAACAATAATATTCGTATGAAACAAAGACTGTACACAAGCAATAATCAATGCTGTATTAATCCATCTGTAGGCATTCATGCGCGAAAGCTAAACTTTTTTCACAATGTTTATAAAGACAATGGTGTCGTACTCTCACTTATAAAATAACGTCAATAGATAACAGTATTATTTTGCTGCCAGGGACACAAGAGTTCATCCACATTCAACGAGTAAGTGTATACTATGTAAAATAAATATTTAAACACTCTAAAATAGTTTTCGATTGTGAAACGAATTTCACAAAAAAAAGTATATATTCTTGACTTTGATTAGATCATTCAATAGATCAAAGGTTCTACTTCATAATAAAAAGAAGTTTCTCTCAAAAGGTTCTCATAAAGTTTTGAAAGATTTCCTACAAACTGCTTGATTTTCTATACAAAACAGTATTTTAACACCTGCAATTGTCTTTTGATGAAGTCTTTATTCTGCATCAAAATATTTTGCGTTATATATATCATTCAATAGAGAAAATCGAATTGAATTGAATCACGTTTTTGGTTCTGAAAACTCAATACATTCAAGTCATACCCATCACTAACTAAAATAAGTACTTCATACAAATCTTCGAGTAATCTCGAGTTTCAGGAAGTGAAGTCAAACTCAACATTTTCTCGAACTATACAGCTTTGTAGAGAGTTAAATCCTCTACAAAAGAGTATGTTTGCGTGTACAATGATTGCTTCTTACTGAATAGGATAAACATCTATTCTTATAAGTAGTTTACAGTGGAGAAAGAAGAAAAAAAATTGTTGTTCTGTTGCATTATATACATCGAGCTAGTGAATGAAGGAAAGAAAATTACAAGAATCTGTACGCCATGCATATAAAGTGACAGAAGCAATTTTTTTCCCTTCGTTCTTCACTGTAGACTGAACTTGAAGAGATACATTCTTATCAAATTCAAGAAAAATGAATATTCGTGGGCTCAAACATATCATTTCGTGGAGAATTCGATTCTCTAGCAGCCTGTATTGTTCATAAAAATTTTAAGTGTGATTTCGCTTCCTAAAAATCAAGACTATCAAAAAATCTATATGAGATAGTTATTTTAGTTAGCAGTAAATTTGTCTTTTGTACAGGGTGTGCCAAAAGTCATTCACCAAAAAAGTTTGTATATTTTCAATAGGGTTGTACTGAATGGACTGGATTTTATTCTGTCAATAGGAAACACTTCAAAGTTTTATTTCATATATATATAATGCTCATAAATACTACTGAAACGTGGCACTTTTAGACTCAATATGCAAAAAAATTATTTCGACGAATTTCACGAAACAACATATAGGTTTCTTTTTAATTATTCGAAGCTGTTTCCATTACGTGTTCTTTTCTTGTTGTATCAATATTTCTTTGAGATTTGTAAGAAATACGACATATCGATGTCAAACCTGATGACCACGCAAGTCCTAATATGACGCCAGTTTACTTAGTTCAGTTTGCATTTAAGTTTCTGATAAACGACGAGCAAACCACTTTGAAGAAATGCATTACTCAGGGTGTGGGTGTGAGTTCATCTTATCTTAACTGAAAGGCACATCTATATCCAAGTTCAATAAATCGCACGCCATAAATATTCTATGCTGCATAGGTATTTTCATTTTCGGTTACGTTGAATGGTAAAACATTGTGCATCGCACCATGAATGATACGCAGTCGCTCATATTAGGTGTAGGTCGTTATTCTACTGATGATAGCAATAAGAATAGAAGACGATCGTTGATTAACAAGTAAGATAAAGTTGAACTTTAGAAAGGTATCAACGATAATATTATTTGCGTATAGACTGTCTAATTGGCTTCAATATTTCACTTTCAAACAGCTCGATCAACAATATGAAACATTGAATGATGATAATGATCACACTAGAACACAGCCAGTTATTGGATACTTTCAACTAGTAAGTGTATCAAGAGAGAATACATATTAAACAATGAAATGTTTGTTCAACTTTGCGGTAGTTTCGTTTTGCTGATCGACTTGATCTTCTAATAGTAGCTCTCGGCTTGTGCGTCGTCTTACTACATAGTATTGTCCTTACAGCATTAATTGTTATTTGTGGACAACTTGCGAGTGCATTTGTGTCGCAATTGTTTATTGGTCAATGCTCTCTACAGCAAAACACATCAGTTACTGCTGGCAATAGCAGAGAAAGTCCATGGATTGCTCAAATAAATAGTTTCAACTATGATCAAACGCAGAAGTAAGTCATGATCACGTAAAGTGTTGATGTACCCAAGCTTCTACATTTATTCACTGTTTATCAATATTAGACTCTTCCTGAATGAGAGTACCATCTTGGCGCCACGATGGTCATTGTCTACAGCCAAACTTAATGCTTATGTTAAAAAACAATTGCGCGGGCTATTAAGTAAGCAGAAATAACCTAATATTTCAGGAATCAAACAAAACAATTTGCATCTTGAATGTACGTAGTTTTGGGTATAGTGGAAATAGTCTGCATTATTCTTCGTTATTTTCTCTTTACCGTGACGGCCAGACGGCAGACATCTCGAATACGTATTCGTCTTTTACAATCATTGATGCAACGTGTATGTATAACGCATTTATCTTTAGGCAGACATAACGAGTGGGAGACAATAAGTGGTCTCTTAACTATTTTCTCGATATCTCCATTGATTATTATCGTTCAGACTTGTACTATTTGTAATAGAAGAACTGTGCAATTCTCAACAAAAAGACATATTATGAAACACGACTGGGGATAAATGTTGAAGTAAGTTGTTAGAAAAATGACCCCATTTTCATCCTATTTCATAAACGTTGACAAGCATTGCTAGGCTCGTTCAGTATTTCTATCACGGTAGGTGACATTTTCAAAAGATTTTCGATGTGTAGTAAATTGGTTGCTGAAAATATTGCAGCAGGCGCAGATAGGCTTCTCAGTTATAGTCACAGTAATTTCATAGTGTTCTACATTTTAATCCCGTAGGGATCACTATGCAAGCTTTTTTATTAGATAATACAGTCTTTTATATCTTTCAAATACTAAGAAACTGTATAGAACCATTAAGTACAATTTTCAAACAAGTTTTTTTTTCGCAACTTTTTCGTGTAGCATTTCATCTGTTACGTTGTCGTAGTTTTTTTCGTAATGTTTTCACAGTTCATCATTTCAATAAATTTTCTAAAGCCAACGTCATGTACGATCAGTTGACTCATATAAAAAAAAACTTAGAATCTCTAAGAGCATCACATAAAAGTCTCAATATTTTAGGAGTTAAAATATTTTAAGAAAAAACGTGAACAAATAAAAGTGATTGAAAAACTATACTTAGTGTTTTCATTCAGTTCTGTAACATTTGGAAAATGAAGGCTATAGTCATCGAATATAATATATAATTTTATGGAGCATTACAAAGTATATATTTTGGAAAAAGAGTACAAGCTAGAATGATGATAATGAATGAAGACATCGAAAAACAACGAAGGGATCATCAATTCAGTTGCACTCATTAGAACTTCATTGAAGTTGATTGTTGTACACGTGGATTGTTTGTCTCTTTCTCTCTTTCATTGGTAGAATATTTCCTATTACGATATGAATTCAATTGGTCAGTTCAGTATCAAACTGTTCAAGTAGATTGTTTTTGTCGGTATTTGTAATAGAAATCATATCTGGCTTTCTCATCTCATAGCAACATTGATCATTTGAATAAAGGCATTGGTTTTGAATTATCAACGGTACTTGTGGCATTATTTTCCACTATTAGCAGTTCTTGTGTTGCCTTAATCATCAATTGGAAGTTGACACTTATCATATTGTGCATTGTGCCATTAACTATTGTAGTTTCATATGCTTTTTCAAAGGTAGATGTAATTGCTAATGATTAATTTAGCTTATAGTAATTCAAAAAGGTCACTGCCAAAGAATCAAGAAACGAATTGGAGACGTATTCAAAAGCGGGAGAAATCGTTCAGGAAGTGTTCAGTTCTCTTCGTACTGTGCTTTCACTCAATGGCGAAAAATTTGAAGAGAAACGGTAAGGAATATGTATACTTATAAGTGAGCTTTGTAAGTCATGGGCCATGACCATATTCGAATCTTATGGTGCATTTAGATACGAAACTCAATTACAGGCAACTCGCTGGAGCAGTGTGCGCAAAGGTGCCATGTTTGGCTTCTTTTCTGGGTGGACTTCTCTTGTAGGATATATCATTTATTCAATTGGCTTTGCATCTAGCTTATCTCTCATGCATGACACAAGAAGTGACATATTCTATTTCAGTAATGTTCTTGTGGTACATAATTTAGTGAATAAATCAGACTTGTACAAGCAACAGGTTCTCTATGTTTGAATAGATAGTGATTGTTTTGGCAAGGATCGCTAGTCATTTAGCCTTTAATAGTCCTTTCTTTCAATTATTGGAAGAAACTCGAGGTGCTTTAACGCCCATATTCCAATTAATCGACGAGGTAAAGATTTGCTTAATTTTACGAGCTGGTCTCTTCTCCATTACATCATATAGGAAGAGAAAATAAGTATGAATGAGACACAAATGTCGGAAGATTCGGTTGCTTGTGCAGAAACTATAAATATGAATGGTGATATTCAATTTGAGAATATCAACTTTGCTTATCCAACTAGACCTGATGTCTTAGTTTTACGAAATCTAACACTGACGGCTCGTGCAGGTGAGATAACAGCTTTAGTCGGTTCAAGTGGCTCTGGTGAGTTTTCGCAAAAAGAAATCATAGTCTAATACTCTATTCTTTGTTGAGCGAATAGGCAAGAGCACATGTATTTCACTTCTACTTCGTTTTTATGAACCTTTGTCGGGTCGCATCGCAATCCATGATCAATCGATCACCAACTGCAATTTCAAACAACTGAGACAGAAAATTGGTGTGGTCAGTCAAGAACCTGTATGTGTGTTTCTTTGTATTCTAATTTTGCATTTGATATTATTCTAAGTAGATTCTTTTTGCCACAAGTGTCTATGAAAATATTCGCTTTGGTAAGGAAAATGCAACAAGAATGGAGATCGAAGAAGCAGCACGTCAAGCTAATGCCCATGACTTCATCATGCAATTACCTAATGTTTGTATCAAATACTCTTTTCTGTTAGCATATTCTTTATTTCTGTTTTTGTAGAATTATGACACAATTGTCGGTGAACGTGGTGTTCAATTGAGTGGCGGTGAAAAGCAACGAGTAGCTTTGGCTCGTGCTCTTATCAAACAGTCAGCCTTGCTTTTGTTGGACGAAGCAACAAGTGCTCTTGATAATACCAATGAAAAGATTGTTCAGGAAGCACTCGATCGAGCTTGTAAAGGTTTGCACGTATCATTTTGTTTAAATTATATTATCTATGGTTACACATAGGTCGGACAACTATTGTGATCGCTCATCGGTTGGCAACGGTTCAAAATGCGCATCGCATTTATGTGTTGGATAATGGATGTGTCATAGAACAAGGTACACACAAGACATTGATGTCAAAAGAAGGAGGTCGATATCGCGAAATGATGAAAGATCAACAGAAAATAAAAAGAGAAAATGATATCGATGAAACAACAAGCCTCACGCAAATAGAAGAAAATGATCAAAAACAGATATGTACGTAAATATTTTTAACAAAAAGAACGATTGGAAAGCAATCAGCTTTTTCAATTAGCGGAACGTGTTCGACATCATAGCTATAATGAACTTAATGATGGAGACAAAGTAACGAACATGAATATGCTTGTGTCAAGATGCTTTTTTCAATTACAGTATACTTTTAATAGACATCATCGACTACAAATCAACTACCTGTTTTCTTGCGACTTTTGTTATTAAACCGTCCAGAATGGATCATCATTCTGATCGGCTGCGTGGCTTGCCTCATTGGTGGAGCAGGTCAATCAATCCAGGCCATTCTACTCACAAGTACCATTTCTGTAAGGCATTTTTTTTCGTACAACACGATCAATATTGTTATAATTGGTTGTTTACAGGCATTTGGAGCCTGTACCTACGAAGAGCGACGTCATCAAGTTTTGAAGTTTTCCCTTCTCGTTTTGTTGACGGGTATTGCGTTTCTGGTCATTCGTTTTATTCAAGTAGGAATACTATTCATATAGAGTTTTATATTTTTTACATCAGTAGTACACTGCATTTGCTGTATCTGGTTCAAAATTGACCGAGCGTATTCGTACAAAAGCTTTTTCACATCTTCTGCGTCAAGAAGTGGCTTTCTTTGATCGTCTGGAAAATAGTTCTGGAGCCATTTGTAATCGTCTATCATCTGATGCATTGGCTATTCAGCAGATGACTGGCACTCGTCTAGGCATCGTTTGTGAATCAATCGCGACGTTTGGCATCGGTATAGTTCTCGGAGTTTTGGTCAGTTGGCAATTGGCTTTAATCGTACTCCTCTATATTGCATTTTTATTTCTTCTTGCTTTCATACAAATCCGTTGGCAAACACGATTGAACAAACACTCTGATAGTATTCTTGGATTAGCAAGTTCGGTAAGACAAACGTTTCGATGACAATATCATGTATACTGAAATATTGCTAGTGAATGTTCTTTTACTAATAGCTCGCTGTCGAAATCATTCACAATATGCGTACGGTGAAGCAGTTGGCAAGCGAAGCAGAATTCATACGCCAATTCTCAGATTTAATTTTCAAAGAGTTTAAGTTAGTCTTTGCATCGCATTATCTCTTAATCTTTAAGTATTATGGTTGCATAGATTTCGTCGAAACGATATAATAATATCTTCGCTACTACATAGTATCCATTGGGGCATTGCATCATTCATCTTGTTGTTTCTCTGTTGGGAGGCTCTCATCCTTGTTGAAAATAAAGAGCTGAAGATAAACAATATCTCCATGTACATAAATAGAAAGATTTAGAATCTATTTCACCTACATGTTTTTCTAGTGTGTTTGCCTATTATACTTTCTCTACAGAGTCTCGGCGATTCGTCACAATCTTGTAAGTTATTGTAGCGATCGATTTCTTTTCCTCGAGTGCTCTTGTTTAGAATGCGTCAAATGACAGAGTCATTGTCAGCAGCTCGAAGTTTCTTCAATTTGTTCGATCGAATATCAATCATTGACAATTGTTCCATGGATGGTCAAGAATTGGTGAGTAATTCATTTAGTGAAAGCTTGAGTTTTGAACGGATTACGTTTATCTCATTGTTGAAATGCGTTGATGGTAGAGTGACTTCAAAGGAGAGATCGAATTTGAACAAGTCAAATTTGCGTA